ACACTTTTACGTAAAAAATTTCTTTTGACCTGCAAAGATCCTCGAGAAAGTAGCCTATGCCGTTTAAGGATCAACATTGGTCAGATAAGTGCTCAATGGTCGCTTAACTCCTGTTGGCCTGCTCAAGGTCGTGAAGGGGTTTTGCGTCAAACATCGTAAGTAGAGACTTTGCACTGTCATCGGTTAAATATTCCCGTGAATTTACTTATATGGAATCCTTGGGTTTATTCAACTTTCACTGGAGCAGGTGGAATGCTGCCTTTTGTGGGATACACACTCATTCAAAAAATGCCACGCAAGTTTGTTTAGCCATTGGTCGAATAACTATGTGACTCCCGCTTTCTTCTCGGTTCTGGCGAATGTTGCCCCTGCGTAAAACAAAACCTTGAGCCAGGTTGTAATTTAGTCGTAAGAATCAACGTGTTCTTTGGTCTACATTCTTGGCGGAACATTTCATCAATTACTGCAGATGTCGTTATCTTGGTGACGCCATTAACGATCTAACTTACACCCGAAGCAACACAGCGCATACGGATGTCACTAATGTTGGAATTTCCGTTACGGCCGCTTTCTGACATGATCCTCAAACTGAGTATCACCCAATAGGACATTGGGTTATATTGGAATATATTTGGCTTACAGACCAGTTGCAGCCGTCAGGAATGCGAGAAATCAACCGCCATAGTGATTTGTATGAAGACAGTGAGTAGAAGTGATCCAGACCGTGGAAGGGAACGCAGAAGTTGTTGTGATAAGGTTGGTTTAACGAGTGCAACTATCTTAACGCATGATTGTGCGCTGGCGGTGGAATGTCCTGGCATTAGAAATGCATGAGCACTTCCCCGCTAGTGGCTGTAGTTACCAATGTGGTGTCTGAATATTTTAAATTTGTGCTTACGCTCCCATATGAGTCACGTCAGAAGCTTCTGTGAACTGTCAACTGCTGTTTCGAATGCCAATAAACATTGTGACTATCTTCGATTTGCGCCTGAAATGAACGCTGAGATGAAGACTGAGCTTTGGTAGTTGCTTGAGTCTATTCTAAACAGCCTGCTGCTGGGTGTACTCTTCTTGAGGTTTTCCAGTTAAGTTCATCTGTCGTACCTTCATCACCCATAGTTACCAACTAAGTACACAACTGCCAGCTGAATCTTGGCCAGGCCTTTCGTTTACATCATCCCGATGGTATAATATTGCGTTATATGCAATACTCTCGGGCGAAATTCAGCTGATCTGCGATCAAACAAACAGCACAAGTAATTTGTGGCATCCCAGCAAGATTATAGTTGACGGGAATTCTGGGACGAAATCTATCTGTGAATACTGAAATGGACATGATCGGTGGCAGATCCCTCGGAGCCCTCATATACCATAACAGCAATATCGGGGCATCTTGAACATTGTTTCACTCTTTGTGTAACATATCCTTGGAGCATCCCAAACGAGCGATAGATGTAGAACTTAGCTATGGTTGCCATTAGAACGTTTCCTGTAGGTGATTGCTCATCACAGTGAACAAAGTGCGGTTGCCGAAAATGTTGGAGTCACGAGAAGCAGAGAAAAAGCCTATTTAGGTTTTCTGTTAGCGACATCTTTGGAGGCAGGTGAAGGAAACTATGTGGCCCCGTGTTCAATCACTTCTTGAACCCTACACTCTATTCAGTTTCGATATTGTACAATTCATATTCGTCGTTATTTATTGTGAAGTCCTTGGCAGTAAAAATGTGCGCTGGAGTTGGACAAGACCACCGGTTGTGTACAAGTCATTTAAATGTAACAAACCCGCATTTTCAGACCATGATCTGTATTCTGACGTTTTTACTGATATCCACCGCATTACAATATCTCGCTTACGATGGTTATAATGTGGGAAAGTCGGAATTGCCTAACTATATCCTGATATACGAGTTAACCAGTCAAAAATGCAACCTCTGCCAAATTCGACATCACTGACCCATTGTACACTGCCCGGGTTGGGTTGAAAACCCGGGGTCTTCTCAATGCATTGATGAACAACCCCTTGATTTCTGGTATTCTTACATCGATTTCACAATTTTTTCTCCAGGCAACCGTTACACCGGACAGTTTCTGCCTTAGAGAACCAACATCATCAGTAAGAGGAATAGATTTTATCTGTTATAAGCACGCCGCAGTCCATAGCAAATGCATTGATGAACAACCCCTTGATTTCTGGTATTCTTACATCGATTTCACAATTTTTTCTCCAGGCAACCGTTACACCGGACAGTTTCTGCCTTAGAGAACCAACATCATCAGTAAGAGGAATAGATTTTATCTGTTATAAGCACGCCGCAGTCCATAGCAAAATATGCAAGATAATGGAAGATCCTAAAGTAGGATTTTGCACGTGGAAGACACGAAATGTCCCTAGAATTTTAGGAATATATCTTCTATGATTTCAGAAGCAGTTTCACTGACAGGTAACCGTAAAACGGCAAAAGGTTGCATCTTTACAATCCAAGTCTGACCATTTTTCGGCAGAGGAAGACAAAAAGTTTGGCGTTTTGGTCCTCTTCGATATACGTATACATAAAAAATATGGGCCAACCATATATGACCAGACAGGTACTGCACTAATATGTTTGTAGTTATTGGGTGCCGAGCGGCTTTATTGCAAACGTAGTCAAACAAAAAAGGACGAATACCACTGTCCCTGTCCCTGTAGATGAATCCTGGTGGTTGCGCCATATGGTCGTTTAGTTCACCAAATGCCGGCGGATTAGAGGAACAGCCACCAGACATATTACATTGTTGCTATTTATGCCTTTGTTGTTTATCGGGATACATGTTTGAGAGTTTGAAGCTGGTTTGGAGAGAAAAATTATACAATGCTTTTATGCAGTCATGGACAGCAAGATGTTTGCCTCTTCTCACGTGTGCGTAAATATCTCATGTAATTATAAGAACCTGTTGCGGGTTTTCAATGACTTATGAAATGCTTTAGTCTGACAATTGTTAGTTAAATTGCGAAAAGTTGGTTACGGTGTTAAGGTGTTGGGGTAAGAACTTGCAAATATTTGAGGCCGGTCCCATGGTGCTGCGCATTTTGTTTGCTGATCGACGTCAGGAACAGTCGGATAACTTGATTAGTATTGACTCGCTTGCTTTTGTTCTGGTTAGAGTTTTTGATTCACTCTGTTACACTCTGTTAATGAAGGATGCAGTCGAGCGTCCGAAGATTGAGCCACGGAAGCTTCCAACGTTCTAGTCATGCCCGCAGACGATAACTGCGGCTAATAACAGAAGACAAACGCAGACTGACATTGCCGATAATATTTCAACGCGGAATAACACAAGATTAATTTCTTCCGCCGTCAAAAGCTACCTGACTGATATGTGAGTCGAAATGATGCGGTCTGATTTACAGATCCATGATGATGCAACGACAGCTTACAATGAATTCTACTAGCAAACATGCTCCAGCAAGTTTCAAAGGAAATAAAAATCGCGTCCCCTTGGGCAAAACGAGTATTATATCATCCGGTGTTGGGCGAAAGACTTGATCATCTGCGCCTATCCGTGAAACCGGAAAATCCTGAGGCTTCCTCCTGAGTAACCGGTGCGCAGCCAGAGGATAGGTTACTCTGCGTTTACTCATAAGAGGCAGACCCAAACGAACTGTTGATGGATGGACACCTAAGTTCTCCTACCACTAAACGAAACCGACGAGCACCCTGAAGCGCACCAAATTGCTGGTGGTTTCCCGTGCCTTGCTGATGTCGCGCTGGTTTAATTTAACCATGGAAGTTATCCTTGTCTCGACACAAATTACTGGTTGGTCCACATGTGGTCTACATGTCTTGGGCTGACAGCTCCGTTCGGATGGACCTGAACTGCATCACTCTCGCAAGGCAGTGGGGTTGGTTAGTGACGGCGCACACTGAAGCAAGGCTTAAAGTCGCCGTGACTGCAACCCACAGATTCTCAGTTTATCACACCTATCCACCAGGCCAAAAAATTCCGTTCCATATTTTGGTGCAAAAATAAGCCAGCGATTGAGTTTTCAACCGTTTTATAGACTTCCGCCGTTCTTACAACACTAGCCGTGTCACTCAGCGGCTTTTAGCATAGACATTACTCTCTTGTTTGCGAACACTCTGTTTCACTTGCGGAGCAAGTCTCGATTAAGGCAGTTCAAGAAGCGCTTTAACAGCTGAGTGGCACATTTTGCGACGTGCTACTGTGTGCTCTGTGTGTGGCGCCTGATTTCCAGCATCAAGCTTTCCTCAATTCTTGTCAGCATTATTGGAGGTAGAAAAAACACTGGCGGTGGTTCCAGACCACCGGGGAACATTTACCGGTTTGTCAGTTCGAGACGTGCGATAAAATGCGTCGGCACCGTTCATAAATATGCTGCAGAAGAGACAATACTACTTTCGAGGCATGTTCTAACTTTTAGTTACTCACCCGTCTATCCCCTGAGCATTGTACTCCAATGAGCCACTCAATTACCTGCCTGCACCCCCAAAGGTTCACTTGTCACCGATTCTTTCAATATTGCGAACCACCCAAACGCCCACTTTGCAGAGCGCTAGTTGCTCCTTTCTCTAAAATTCAAACCATGCTCCCTGCCAAATTTCACATCTCTACATTAGAGTAAGTACCCGTAACTTAGAAACGTTACCATCTCCCTATTTGACTCCCCTGCCCTTGTTCAAACCATTAAGGAATCCGTCGAGTTGGGGGCGACGACGTTCCATCCCGTGTTCTGAGATATGGTGGTCATTATGCCACATTTATTTCCTACATTTTTTACCCCCTCAGTCAGCTCTTGAATCGTCCCCTCCTGGTTAAAAAAATTCGTAGTCCGCCCTCATTACAAATCCTGACCCAGACAAACTGCTTCAACTACAGAGAGATCCGTCACAACCCACTCTTAACACGAACCTTTGAATGCATGTTCAAGAGCCCGCTTACAAGGTACCTTCCAGTTACAAATGCCCCAACTGTATACTAGTAGAGCCTGCCTCGGAGAACCGTCAGTCTGCCAGCTCCAATTCTTTGAGACCATTACAGTAGCCGATGATGCCAGGCACTCCGTTGTAACAGTCTATTTGAATATCCAAAATGCTGTTGTTTGGGCCCTTCATGCATCCCGGCTGAAGAAACCTTTCGTTGGCATCGCTGGATCCTATCATCAATGGTTCAACTTCTCTCTATCGAAAAGAGAACAATAAAACGGTCACTTCGACCATCAATCACCATTTTCTTCAATGGAGCGTCTTCGGCGCCGTTTCCTATGGTGAACCCTTCTTCTTTGTGGACGATAAAGAAGTCGCTCACACATTCCACCCTGTGCTAATACTTGCCATTTGCCAGATCCAACAAAGCTTAGACTCTTTAACACACTGGTCGGGTATCTTTATCTTTATCACAAATAAATTAATGCCGCTGCTCTATCCTGGCTGTTGCTTGCACAGTTAATGGGAACATCGTCAGTCGTTCCTCAGAGACCGACGGACTCGGTTTCAAATAATCTGTTACCTTTAGCTTTTCACACTAACTACAGTTCTGGATCGTTCACGCACGTAGGTACTTCTTTTAATATTACGCTCCTTTCATCTTCGAGAAACGAAGATCAAAAGCTATGCGTGCGATCAATCGTGGAATTTTCTACTGCTTTCTCTTATACTTATGACCAAAGGTGTAGACTGATGCCTGAAGGCACCAAACGCTCATTCACTAAACAGCTATTCCCACAGCTCAACCTTATCTCACACCGTTCCGGTTACATAATCTTGAGCCTTCGGGACACTATGGCTGATACGGTTCCAGCCAAATCTTGATCCTATATGAAAATACTTTTATATTGTAGGTTGGTTCAAACGTAAACTCATGTATTCGCTATAAATTCCGTGACTCTAGGCATACCTTAGTGTGCCCTTCAGCTCATCCAAATCTACGCCACTACTTTTCTCCAGTTTGCTACCTTTGTATCTGCAACAATTTCCCTGATCAGCTTTAAACCGTCACACACTATCGCGCACTCCCGAAGACTGTGAATGCCCAAAAAGTCTGTCTGGTGGTGCAAAAGAGACAGAACTCTTGTGTGGCTATGCAACTCATTAGGCACACACAGATGAAAGCGCAATGCGACTCCCGCTTGGCGTAGTGCTCACACAAACGCTTTGAATCCTTTGGCCATAGTGCACACGGTCTGAATATCTTTATTCTGTTCCCATTGTTCCCATGGCAGCTGCTCCTTTACTTGCCTCCTACTCGATCTGTTTTTT